GGGGCCGATTTAGCAGCCATGCAAGTACCAGCCAATGCGGCATTATCATACGACAGTATATAGATTGCGAACGATTTCAAAGACTTACCTTTTATGCTGGACAGAAACGAGTAATAGGTAAGCTGTCCAGTCACTACGCCGGGTTTTGCAGGATTCTTCCGAGTAGTCGTCACACTGAATCCATCTGGACCAATTGCTTCCACTTCAACGACATGCCAATCGGTCATTCTGAAACCATTCTAGGTGAAGTACAGTAAGACATTGTGCGTCTTTAGGTCCGACTCGAGCTATTTTTCATAGGGATTTTAACATCGTATCGAAAAAACTCCTCAAATAACTTTGAAAAGTGGAACTGACTTAGGATCACTAATGAGCCGGGCAGTCACGCCGTCGAAGCCCAGATTATGAGCCGCAATCGCTCCTCCAGCCATCGTGTTAACATTATTCGGTGCTAACGGACACAGTCCTCGTACTGGTCCTGTAATGAATACAGTAACTGTGCGTATCTCAGATAGATAATAAGATAACAAAACTCGTATTATACCTTCATAGAGGACTGTAGCCTTTTCTGTTTCCATTTTCGCAGCTTCATTGAGCTCTTTAAGAGGCGATTCTAATTTGAATGATGATGGATGCTTCGTCATGGTTATAGTCAATGCCTAAATATTAAGAATTAATGATCTAAGTCCGTGAAAATTCCTTAAAAATTCAATCCTGAAGACTCAGCTGACACGAGCACAGCTTAAGCAAGTGAAAGGAGCAGACAAATGGGATGATCCATATTCAGAAAAGTCCTGCTGAAGGTGTTCGACCGCTGTTAACTTCGAAGGGGGGTTCAGAATGAAGAGGTCTTTAAAGAGGTTTTGGAAAAAAGACGACAATCGATAAACTCTCCAGCCTAGAGTGGATGAAAACCGGTCAGAAACCAGATATTTACCTGTACTGGGCACACATTTCTTGTAGGGAAACCACTCATCCCTCTAGGAAGTCAACTTAACAAGCAATTTTAGAAATTGGTCCAAACCAGAGTATAGTTCGCCTCCTCGAGACAATATTGCAACAAACCTTCAGGATCTGTTGATCAGCCATTTTCTGAATGTCGTTGCCTCCCCAGAACGCACCAGCTGGAACCAAAACACGCCGATACTTAGCTGCTGCCATTAGTTGTATTGTTCTGTAGAGCTCAGCATCAGCTAGACATGTCGGAGAGCCAATCTGAAGCAATGCTATCATCATTAAACCTAACCAATGAATTACTGGATGGATCACTCAATAACTAGGACTATCTAACATGGAAATTGTGGCCACTTGGGGCCACTTCTTATCGCCTACTGTTGCTCTTTACAGTGAACAGAGTCGCCAGTTGTCTCATACAGCGTCCAGTAGCGTACTCGCTCTCTTGACGGCTTCTTATAGAAGGCCGCTATTCATCTATTCATTCGTGTTGTGACTTATGTTAGCATAAGTTCCGAATGCAACAACAGTTAATCGCTGTCGCTCAATGTCGCTCACTGTCGCATACTATCGCCTGCTTTCGCTAGGTGTAACTCGCTACACTGCCACTATTAACGTTGTGCAGTAGCACTTGCTACTCGATCTCGATATAGTCGACAAAGCACTGAGCTTATTTGAGCTTGCTACCTGACAGATTACTGCCAGTGCCGCTATAAGCCGCTTGTCGCTCAGTATAGCCCTGGTTTAACTGACATTTTATCAAATCCTATATTACTAGACTGTGTTTCCTAGTATCGCTTCTGCTTATCTATTATGAAATTGAGCTTTACACTCACAAAAAGATCACAATTCGCTAAGATGACGGCTGCGTATTCACGAATTATAGCCGGATGGGCGACTTCTACGATTAAATCGATATCTCTGAAAAAAGTATGAATTATTAATGACATACAGGTTTCAGAAATAAACACTGTTGAGCCCGAAATTCAGCTGAGGAAAAGACTAATCGCTTTATATGCAACTAAAAAATTCGTCATCGAACTTCAAAGAAAAAATCCCCTGACTCGCCTGAGTTGTTACCTGCTTGAAAAAGCGCATAGCTAAAATGGGTTGCGGGTGAGGAACAGAACTGATTGATTTCCATGGCACGGATACAATCATAAGTAACAGGAAAAACCTCAATTGATCGTCGACGATCTCCTCTAACGACAAAACATTCTTGGATGCGTTTGGTGTTCGGTTCCATATTCTAACGACCTCAAATTCATCGAGGCGGTTGAGTTCGTTCACCAAGAACTCTCCTGGAATAGTATTTCATGGAATGTCTCATAAACTACACATGGGGTTCCAAAAGTTGCTGGAAAGCATGAGGTAGAAACCTAACGAACCTAAGGTTCACTTAGGCTTGGTAGACTTACCCAGATGACCATATCCGATAATACCGACTCGTTTAGCATGCATTTGATGGGCGAGCGAAAAGCGAGCTGAAAGTCAAAAATGTTTCAATGTTATTTATTAGGAAGACTCTGCGATTTCTCACGTCAAAAGGGTGCATCTTAATGAGCCTGAAATAGTGACACAATCAAAGGGGTAGCTTAAAATAGAAATTCCCTAAAGATTACGACATAATGATGTCCAGAGTCGGCATCTACAAGAAAGAAACACAAAACCAAAGAAAAAGGTCCCTCCATCTACGCCAAGGTAAGTGACTGCATGGACAGAATCTTCTCACAGGCTTGCATGGATGCACCTGCGAAGAGGCGGAAGATTCTGAATCCGCCTAAGTCTCTGGGCAAATATCAGTGACTGGGGTCCACGATTGATTGTCCTACACCGGGATAACAATTGTAGAACAAATAGTAATGAAATTTTGGTATATTGTATTGTACATAATAGATCGGAGGTGGGCTGGTGGCAAGTAGCGAACTATTACATGCAAGTGTTGTGTGCCGAATCCCGAATCGCCCAGGCCAACCAAACAACCTTTTGTCCCCACAAACCGCTAAATTAGAACCAGACTGTCTGGGAGGATAAGAGCATTAACGTGCACATCGACTGCCTACTGTATAAGCCATACACTCATCCAAACCGATACTATTGTTCTGAATGAAAGTAGAATGTGATGGGGGGAGGGAAGGGGGGGGGGGGCAATATGTATTTAATAAATCCTGACCCTCTATTCTTGAACCTTTCAATCCTTTTTAGTAAGATGGAATTTCAATATAACGAATGATCAGAATGATGTCTGGTAAGCTTACTTGTTCCAAAAATAGGCTCGTAAAGTAGTAACGTCTCTTTAAATCGAAGTTACTCAAGCTGCGTTCACTTTGTTTACTTTATTTCGACAAAAATAAAAGTATAAAATAAGAAAAAAAACGTGCAGAAAAGGAGGAAAAGAGAAAAAAGCGATGATATCGATGTAGTGAATGAAAAATTCTGACGATGCCTAGTCAAAAACATTTTATATAAAAAAAAACCCGAATCGCATACAATTTGTTCGGCTTTTGGGGTGACAAAAAATCAATCTGACCAGAAAGTAATAGGAAAAAAGTAAAGAAAAGCCGTGGAAAGGCGTAACAAGTGAAAAACGTTGCGACCTTGGACAGGCGTGGATGGCCCCCTGCACGATAAACGACCAACTGATCGATTGACCTTATTATTTCTACCTGTTACAGATCAGCAAAGACTGGAACTTTGGTAATTTCGATTTTTCACTGAGTTTTGAATGGGTTTTGGCAATTACTGGGCTGGATGTTCGTTTTTCTGGCACCACTGCCTCTCTATTCTCATGAAGACTCAATCATTTTGGTTCCTTACGAACTTCAGGTAATTGTCATAACCGTCACTGTAATCATTGCGATGAAAAGGGAGGAGCGAGGAGGGGGATAGGTGGCGGAGGGGAGGGGGAGTATTGTAGACTCATGAATAAGCTGAGAAAGCATCAACCACTTTGACGACTCCAAGTGGACGACTTGTATACGGCGCAACCGGTAAACTCTTTTCAGCATTAGAAAACAACCTCTGCATTCCGACTTGTCATCCTTTCCCCGAGTGATAAAAATGTCAGACAATCAACGAGTTCCACAATAAAAATCAACATATATGTATGTAATTAGTAAACAGCACTACCGTAAAACACTTAAATTGGTAATGTTTATTTGATATTTGCAAGTTAACGAATAGAAGAAGAAGAAGAATATAAGATGAAGAGTGAGTAGAGGATATTCAGTTCTGGACATTGACCGGAACCTGTGCAGTACCACTGGAATAGCTCATGTACTCCTGCATTGCTTCGAGCTGAAAACGATTTGTAGTCACTAAGGAAACAACAGAAAGGGTAAGAGGAAGTGATCGAGGCGCTGGTACAGTGCAGAATTTACACAGATCGGAACCTGAATCAAGTCCGGCTGAAATCTCCTGGGTCTTCTACCTATTACTTATCAGTTCACTCGTTCCGGATACTTTAGGTGACAAAGTCACTGACTTCTACCTCAGTTGGTTCCGTATCCCAGAAGTCCCAGATATGCAAATCCTAGAGGTTCTCAGGATGGGAATCGAAGTTGTGGGATCTAAAACAAGTCAACCCAACTCTTCGACCTTACCTCTCCCGGTCTCACCTTTCGGTAAGACATAGGAGGGTGACCGATAACCCCGTTCCAATTTTGGTCGCTTTCGACTGGGCTTCTGACCTACAGCTGGATCACCAACCACCTTCCACCTTTGTATTCCCCTGTTCCGAGTAATTCCTCTCGCTATTGTAAATTTGAGTAGTAAGTACCCCCTCAACCTTGCTACTGGCTCCAATCATTCCAATTCCCGTCCAAAATCACCTAATTTCTGGGAGTACTAGGCAGCTAAAGATGTGTATGCGCTCCGTTGGAGGGCAAGGTTTTTCAGCAACCAACCTTTGTCACATCAATGTTGTCAGGTGCATTGGCTACGAAATTAGCAAACTGCTGGAGTTGTGGACCTAAATAGTTTCTTTTTCAATTCTTTCGGCGAGTAGGAAGTGGATAAAGCCAGTAAACACAACTAACATGTTTCCCATAACCTTGCAAACTCGGGAAACTGCTTCTTGAGACTTTCCACAGCTTCAGGAGTAAGTTTCTGTAGAAAAACAGCGATCATCACACGATCAAAAAATCATTTTCTAAAAATCCTATATGAACTGCAATGATAAGACTATCTCTATTTAGTCTGCTACGTTCATACTACAGTGAGTAATTTGAGCGTTTTAGCCACACAAAACACGCCCACAGCACTCTGCCTACGGGACTCCGCCCACGGGACGTAAACATTACAACTTGAGACGCGTTCATGCATGTTCTTTTGAAAGCCGAGATGGTGTAGTGGCAAATGGCGCACCATCCCACGCATGCATCGTCCGAAGATCTAGTTTTTCACCGAATCTCGTCCACCTAAAGCAGGTCTTCTAGAGACCTTTCATTGGTACCAGACTCGTCTGGGAGTATAAAGCGCCGACTTGTACATCGGCTGGCCACCGCAAGTCACTGGATAAGCCACATACACATCAAAACGCTACTACCATTCCTAATGGAAATCGGATGCGGTGGCGCATTCCTTGGAAGGGATTGATTACGTCAATGATTTGATCCTTTACTTCCACCAAGCAAAAACTCTAACTCTAACTAAAACTTTTCTTGGGAAACCCAGAGGTATGCGATTGAACTGACCTTCGCATCATTGAAGAATTGCTTATTGAAATCGAATGACAACTGAAGAGCATTACCCGTCGGCATAGCTTTGATCGTTTCGGCCCATTTATTCATCCACTAGAAAAGAGTATTTACCGATATAAGATAGGAGAATATATATCGATTACCGGATACAGTTAACAGAATGCGTCCGCTGATGTACATAAGTGTGTGTATATGTACGTGCGCTTGTATCTAATGTTTGGAGGTATGTATGTGGGTACGTAGGTATGGCATGTATGTACACATGCCATACACATCATCTCGCATTTGCAAATATGTCAAAGACGGCAGCTACAACTTATACCAGCCAGTTCTTGATCGTCTAAGTCAGCTGTTCTTCATGTTTGGACCACTTTGTACCCAATTTTCCATCAAAGGGCATCATGACATACTCAAAACTAACGGTTTTCAAGATCAGTGTATCGTAATGGTATCTCCGGCTAATTTCTAACGAAACTGTAGCTCTAGAGAAGACATTGTCTTCTTCAATTAGACAACTACAAAAAAATAGTTGACCGACCTTTATTACAAAAGCCTCTGCTTCAGGATTGAGAGAATACACTTTATCCATGAAAGCCTTGTAAATGACTAAACCTTTCTGATAAACGAGTGGAGCTCGCTAAATTATTTTAACATTTCTGACAAATCCTTCTCAAATCACATCCATTCGGGAATCACCAACACTTTGAAGGAGCTGAAGGAGTTGCGCCAAACTGGTCACATCTGCGCTCTTGTATTTGCCTTGTAATAAGTTATTGGCGAACTCAACGAACTGCTGCTTCTCTTGGTCCGTAGCCGTCACAATTGGTTGAAGTATGTAGCTGGGGATGAACTCTGAAATCTTAATAGTTACTAGAACTATATGGAGATGATATACTCTACCTCAAGTAATTGATACTAAAATCTGAAGGGTAAAGATCTGAGTTAAGGAAAAGTCCATAAGAACATAATTTAAATTGGAAAGAGTCATAGGTATAAGTATAAACGGAGTTATTGATTGACTTTTCTGCAAATTATTATGATAGAATTAATAGGTACGTAAAATCTCATCAAATGGAAAATTATGGTCGTAAATACTTATTATCGGATAATTTTGGCAGATATATTAATGAAATAATCAATAAAGTTTAAAAATAATTTATANGGTATAAGTATAAACGGAGTTATTGATTGACTTTTCTGTAAATTATTATGATAGAATTAATAGGTACGTAAAATCTCATCAACTGGAAAATTATGGTCGTAAATATTTATTATCGGATAATTTTGGCAGATATATTAATGAAATAATCAATAAAGTTTAAAAATAATTTATACATCTGAAGTTAAACAAGTGGATGAAAACGGTATGCTTTAGAGATTTTCAGAGACTAGCCACCTTGTTCCAAAGTATTCTGGACAGGACATCACAGCGATTTCCTACTGTATCCCAGGATCGTGGAATCGAACATAAGTGTAAAAAGTGAAAACCGGTTATGTACTATTTTTCTGATCATGTATAGTTGAATCATCAAAATACTAATGATAGAAAATCTCAATCACACGATATTATGTGGGATTACGGTATGTATTTTCCGACGAAAAAGTACGATTTTATACGGTAGCAAAAACTCACGTGATTCAGTTTTGAGTCGTTCGATCACTTCATTCACCATATCAATGGTGAGTGTGAAATTAGCCAAAGGATTTTCTATTTCGGTAGAATTTTGAGCAATTGCTCCGATAACTAATATGATTAGTAAGAGGAAACGCATATTCGCCCTGAAAAGTATTGAATACGAGGATTCAGATGGGAGCAAACCCAGATTGAGATAATTCATTATAGCAGTCGAACAGGTCAAGAAAATAGATATATCCCCTATCTTCCCACCCTCTCCCCCCCCCCCCCCCCCCCCCCCCCCCCCCTCCTTACCTCTCTCTTCTTCCTTTCCCGGAATCAGCAAAAGCGATTAACCAAAAAGTTCGGTTCGGTGAATCTCGTCTACTGAATCGATTCATCCTCAGTCGCTCTGAGAGATGCCCTGTTCATGGTCCCCTTTTGATCATCAAAAAAGGAAATGTCAATAGTAATGACCTAAACCGATTCGTATGCATAAATAGGACTTTGGGAGAAATCAAAAAACAAATTAATGATAGAATGTTCTAGACCAGATGGTCGAGTCAATGGCATTTGTATGTACAGCGTGTCACCTCTGCATCCTACATTTAACCAGAACAATTGAGCTACCTATGCACTGATCGGCTGTTCCTAGGCTTACCTTTGCTTTCCTGTCGGAAAGTCGAATCAAGCAGAAGGAATAGGAAAAAGCTATAGTCCCCCTGGGTGAATGTTAAAAGAATGAGCGCACTCCAGTAGGGTAGCGTCCAACTGGACTAAGATTTGCTCAATCGGAATCGACCATACCTGCCATCTACCTGATTTCGACCTAAGTACGCACTGGACTCGACTGGGGAGGTAGAGGCACTACTTTTTGCATCGGCTAACCTCTACAGTTAGTTTTATAGAACAGTTTCGTTCTGAAGAATCAATTTCTCATCCGCTTCGCAAAAAATTCTATCACCGCTTCTACTGCTTCTACTGAAGACATCATTCAAAGAGTATTGAAAAGGCTAATAGTGGATAGGTTGTCAAGAAAACTCGTCCAAGTCATCTCTGGACAAAATCTTACTTCACTTATGAATGCCAGAGTCGAATGGGGGTAGTGAAAATTTCGGAACTGCCCTAGAGCAGGAGCTTTTTAGTAGGAGACTAATCTCAAGATCAAATGAGCTTAAATAGGAGGGTAATGACGCTAAAGTTGAAGGTGGCAGGTGAATTGAGACTGATTGACTGCATGGATGACCAGGAAACGGGAAATGAGTGATTCAATCTGCTGAATCGCTGGGTTAATAATGACTGAATGACAGGTGGAACTCGATCGGAATCGCTGACATTAGGTTTATATAGGTATTATGGCATTAGTCAACGGTATCGTTTCGGGATGTAGTAGAGCGTTTTTTGATGGTATTATCGCCAATTATAATCCATGGAGGATGGCCATGAATGAAACATGAAACGGATTTCCATCCCGAATGATCAATAGGGGTCCAGGCTCGATGAATAATCCACCAGACTGCCCTTCAGGTATTAGAGTATTGGGTAAAGAACAGCTAACTGTACCCTGGAGTTCTTCATAGCACCCACACCACTTGATACTAGCAGCTGCATACATGAAATCTCAAGTGATTAGTCTAAAACTTGGTTATTTTTTTCTTCGATTGCCCTACAATTTCTACTGGTATCATCGGGAATCAAAAAATGAAACGTTCGTCTGAGTGTGCGCTCCGCATTCGACTCCATTCAGAATTTTAGTGGCGCACTGAATGCAAATGTGGCCGACAAAAGACTTGTAGTGGCCAGCGATGTACAATTCAGACTTTGAATCCACCCAGACCAGTTTGGTACCGATTAACCAACCCAAAGGGATGGAATTTTCGCCAATGTTAATGAAGGATTCGATTAACATTAAACGCTTTATTCTTTATCTTTTTCTTCTTTTTTAACTGGTCAGAGATTGAGTACAGATTGACTTTTCTGACTTCTGACCGACTAAGGGGAGGTCGATCAAACAGATAAGCAAGTACCACTCAGTGCGCCACTATCACATTACAGTAAATAGATTACGAAGGATTTCAAAAAATTACCTTTTATACTGGCCGAAACGAGAAATAAGTTCTCTAGTCACTACTCCTCATTTTACAGGAGCCTTCCGAACAGTCATTACACTGAATCCATCTGGGTCAATAGCTTCCACCTCAACGACATGCCAATCGGTCATTCTGAAACCATTCTGGTGAACGCGCGAGCTACATATTTCTCGAAAGGACGTCATTGACATATCAAAAAAACCCATCGAATGATCTTAAAAAGTGGAACTGACTAGCAATCACTGGCGAGCCGGGCAGTATCGTCATCGAAGCCCAGTTTATGTGCCGCAATGGCTCACCACACCGGTACCAACGGACGCAGTCCTCGTACTGGTCCTGTAACGGATACAGTAAGTATCTCTGGATGAATAAATCACGAATTACTTCGGGCAATTTGATTCCAAAGGACACATTTGCTGATAAAACACTGATTTAAATTGAATAAATCGAGATGTGTGCAGTGTAAAAACATTTTGCTGTCAAAAGTAGTGAATTATAAAAAAAGATGTGTAGAGAAGGAGAAAAGAAGAAAAAGAGAGCGATCACGTCGCAGTGTAGGAAAAAACTTGGCAGTGACGAGCCATAAATAGAAAGCATATTCTGAAATGAACGTATCCAAACTGCACACTGTCTACTCAATGTTAAAAGGGTTCATTTTATTTAATAAGCAAACGAAAAACTCATAAAAAACATAGCAAAAAAAAGGTTATGACTTCGGCCAAGCGGAGGTGGCCCTGTCCACGATATACGATGAATTAATCGATTGATCTTATTATGATTGATTATTTGTATCTGTGACAGATCAGCAAAGGTTAGAGATCCATTGAGTTTGATTTTCAAACTCCCAAGATTCGAGTTCAAGGTTTAAGCTGTCCGACGTCTTCAGTTTTGATTTCTTAACGGCATCATGAACCATTTTTCGTCAATCATCATTGTTCATTTCTAGTGTGGTAATCTTTTCAAAAGAAGATTCAGCTCGATGAATTTGGAAAACTACTCCTGTTAAATAGCTCATGAATGTGACCAATCCAGATTTTTCTGCACCGAACCGGCAAACTTCTAGTTCAGACTGATAAATCAAGTCGGCCTTTCCTTCCACGACCACCCTATGGTGGTCCTCCACTTCTCGGAATAGCATCGAGCTCATCTTCAACCTCTAACGTGGAGAAACTCACATTTCCCGCATTCCACTTCGAAGGTGACAGGATTCAAACACCCATCGTCACCTGAATACATGTATGTACCTCCCGTGGTGCTACCCAATGATGGGAATTTCTTTCTCAGTGGAACCCACCTTCGAGCTTAGTAGATTTCCAACGCGAATCTGTAAAATCTCCGATAAGGTCCTGCTGCCTGAATGTTTAGTGACAACGAGCATCAACCCTGTGGCAAACTTTTGTAAGAACTGAATGGCTCTGTAAGTTTTCCTTATTACGAAGTTGTTGATTGTTGCAAAACTCTACATCAAATAGAACACCTTGCGTTTGTACTTTTATCGAAGTGCTTGGGGAGTGGGCAGTATTAACGATTCTGTGTTGTCGACTCGCTGCACGCGGCTGCCACAGACTATTCTCTTCGCCATTATTGCATGTAGCTCTAGCGCTCTTCATACAGCTCAGTCGATATGCGATCATTGTTTTAGGCATGTTTCTACTATGACTTCCTTTATTACTATATTTCTCACCTGCTGCTGCATTCTACTATATTCCTTCGTTCGCGGCGTCCCTCTCGCCGCGACGCGACAATTCGATAATCCAGCACCACACCCGAATTGCTCCTTACTTCGAACACTGAAATACAATACCCGCCCATAGCCTCATGAAGGGTCTCGCATGTGCGTGATCACCTAAAATGCTCTATAATTATTGATTGGGCTTCGTATGACCAACCTCGAATCTGAGGAATCCTCTTGCCACATTTGCCAATTTTTTATTTCACGAACTGTCCAAATCGATCAAAATAAATGAAGCTTCGAAAACTTTCATCAGAAGTATAATCGACAGCGCAGGCTTGAATCCGAAATAATGCATAAATAATAATGCATAAACCCTGGAGTAAATTCTACCAGAGTCAATCTAGCTTCTTCCACTGATCACTGTTTAAGTGTACTCATCATACAAACTTTCACAGTCAATCCAAAAATAGTAAGTGATTGGTTATCGAAACGAGGCAACTAGCCAAAAACCATGGCATGGCGTGAGCATTTGAACTCTCTAGGTACACGGGAACCGCAGTTATGAATTTCCGGTCACACACACACACAGACACACACACACACACAGCGCGTAATATATATGTGCAGGATTCTCTGTGATTTGAGATTGCGCTCAATTCCTCAGAAGAAATTAGAATGACAGCAGACAAAACGTGTTCACAAGGCTTCCAGTAAACATATTTTCAAGGTAATTTTCGAAAAAAGTAGTGTGAAACTTTAAGCGCGCTTCCGAAAGATGTCAGGAGGAAGAGTAACGAATTTTACAAATTGTGGCGATGATAATTGTTAGATCGCCTGAAAAGCGAACGTTATCTTTCAAAGGCATACTTGGCGGCAGGACATCTAGCAAAAGAGACCATATGTCACATGGTTGTGAGACTGGAGGTAGGACAACTAGCAAGTATGTGCAATCTACAGTATACTCTAGCATGCTGCAACCGTAAGGTATGCGTGTAATCAAGTTATCACATTTCCGATGGATAGGGTATAGGACAGTAGGTATCGTTGAGATATTGCCGAAACTTTTAACGGAATCGAAGGTGATTCCGACCTTTTTTAGACGTTTTACTTGGTTATCATTGCCAGCCTCTCAACTGGGAATGATAACTAAGTAAACGTCTAAAAAAGGTCGGAATACTCGCTACACATAGACGTTTGAGATGGCACTCAGCTTCAAACGAACCAGCGGAAACAGGCTAAGTTCCAACTCGGGAAAGCTGAAAGCTCGAAGAACCCGTTGACAAGTTTTCCAGCTTGGTGGCCTTATAAGTTCGAAAAAATGAAGTGGAAGAGATCCAAAAGAAAGTTGTCCATGTGTAGTAGAAATTTAATGCTGGCTAGAGGCAAAACCTTAGAAACAATCCAACGAGTATCACAATGTGATTCGAATGAGGCTCCGAGTAAATCCGACTGAAAACGGCTAGTTATTTCATACCCTAACTTGGCGAATATTTGTTTGGCAGTATGGTTTTCATATTGCAACTATTTGCACAATTTATTCATGGTGCAGAAATTGATCTTAATTGCCAATAAAAGTAGAATTTTTAAGAAAAAAAGAGCTTTGTCTGCTCTTAGGTTTCTGTTCTCTGTACCTCATGAATATGTTTCATTTGATGTTCGTAGTTCGCATAATTCAACCTCAGTTTTTGCCCAAACCTAACATATTTGCCAAATCCTCATGGTTGAATGCATTTGTACCATTTCCTAGTTACATTTCTATCGGTAGCAAAGGCAAAGAGGTTGGATGTTTACTACTGGTCTAGTGCTTCATGCCCTTGAAGAATAAAACTTGATTTTCCAAGCGTTTTTCATTCCTATTCAGGATGCAAAGGGCGGAGGTGGTGTAGTGGCAAGTGGCGCACTATATCACACGCACGGTCAGGGGTTCGAATCTCGGATCGATGCTCGCCTAGGCCAACCAAGCCTTCCATCCCTCCGGGGTCGGTGAATTGGTACCAGACTCGTCTGGGAGGACAAAAGCACTGACTTGTACATCGGCTGGCCACCGCAAGTCATTGTATAGGCCACATACGCACTCATTACGCCACTACGATTCTGAATGGAAGTCGAGTGCGGGGGCGCATCGGGATTGATTAACGCCAAAAACTTTATCCTTTTTTTATCCTTTATTCAGGATGCGCTTTAGCATTCGCTTGCAATCAGAGTTACAGAAATACCTGGAATGAGGGTTTGGACCCTACAATGACTATTGTGGAATGGCCCATGCAATGCACTGCTCCAAACTTTTCAAATAGCCTTGGCACCAATTTATCAACTATTAAGGACTGTAAAGCTCGGCTGGCCAGGGCAGGCAAAGGGTGTGATCTTCGGGCAACCCTAACCATAAAGCTCTACCCTGCAACCGTCCTTTTCATGCCTTAATCAGAAAAACCCGACTAGAAAAATCCAAAAGGGTGTCTTTCTCTTCTGTCTTGCACTAGTTGAACATCCTGTGGAAAAGATCAAGAACAAGCTAGCGGAATTGAAGACCACGGTGAAACGAGGGGGTTTACCACAAGATTTTCTGGCTTACGATAAAACCGTCCAAAATTGTTCAATTTTGAGCACTTCCGCAACCAGAACTGTGTTATATAATGAACAGATTGCCCAGATTTATTCAAGGAAANGGTTACTTTCACTTTCAGTATGGTTCTTCATAAACAGTCTGTTGTTCTGCAACAACTTGTCGTTGTGCAATGACCGGTTGCTGAGCAAGAACCGGCTGTTGTGCAATGACCGGTTGTGCTGCAATAACCGGTTGTTGTGCAATAACCGGTGGTTCTGCAATAACCGGTTGTTGTCCAACAACTGTGACAGCAGGGGCACGGACATACTGTGGTATCACAACGGGAGAAATCTGACCAACTGGAGCCACTTGAGCAACTTGACCATATGGAGTAAGCTGACGAACTTGACCAACTTGACCAACTTGACCACCATTTTGTCCATTCTGTCCAGTAAGGATGATGAGATTTTTGTTTGGATTCGCTGGAGCTGCTGTTGTAGTTGTTGCTGGCGGTGCAGGGGGTGCTTGTATTACTACTGGTCCTGATGGGACGCATACCACATTTCCACTTGTGTAGTAGTCTGAGCTCGCTACGATTTGATTTACCCACGTCCTCACCTAAATAAACTGTTTCGAAAAATGCCACTGTTTTGAGTAAATAAACATCAGAAGAATAGTTGTGTCTAGAGAAAAAATTGTAGTGAACTTTGTTTAAACTGTACCTCGTCACAGTGACATTGTGTTAAGGTGAAAGTAAAGGCAAAATAGCCATTGCTGTCAGTATTTCCAAGGTTTGAGAAGACTCCAAGAGGGGCCGAGTATTCCTGGATCTGAAATTTTGATAATTCGAATAGCTACAACTGTGATGCAAGGTGTGAGGTGATTTTTTTTTACCTTTGTTTTCGGAAAGTAGCCCATATACTCGTTGACTTTTGATGATTCGTAGACTTGGTTGGTGACTATTGTAACGTCCGCTGTATCGTGTCCGTGTGAGACTCCCGCAGGAGGTGGTGGTACTGGTTGGCAAGCCTGCAAAAGATATTTTCTAAATTTTATTCTTCCATTTCTAGCTGCTACTCGGCTGGAAGGTATTACCCATGACATTGTCATAACGAAAGGAACATATTGAACATACCAGTGTGGTTCCAATAAGGGCGAAAGCGAAAAGTAAACAATCCATGTTGGATGTGTGATGCGACTGCAGACGTCAGTCTCCCTACTTATATGTTCTGGGACTCGATGAGTTAGCTATTCAAATAACTTGTTCTATAACTGTTTATTAGCTATATTCGCATATTTAAAATTCTATGGATATCGTCGTGAGAACTTCTGTTTTCAATAACTGCGTACTCCAGACGTTATTTGTCGTAAAGCCTCAAATTTTCTTTGAAACAAAGGGCATTTCTAGCGTGGATGAAAGACTGTTCCACACAAATGACTCCTTTTACGGCTATGTTTTCCAGCGATAAGATTCATCTACGATAGTTATATGTCATGCATATTAGTTAGCTCTATCGTAGAAGTTGTTTTTTATGCCATTTTTAGCGGATATTAATTGTTTTCAAGAATCTCTTCCTGAAGCCGTTTCTGTCTGGACCCTCACATCATGTCGAGAAGAAAGAAGTGCCAGAAAAACTGCATCGTGGCGGTTTCCCACAAATAATCTTTCATGTCTCTGTTTTGAAGGCAGTAAATAAATTCGTAGCTGAACTAAATGCATACTTGTAGACTAAATTGACAGAAAGAATTCTCGATGGATTCTGAAGGAGTATTTATTGCCTTAGCGAGCGTCCGCTCTATTCTCTTATGTCAACCTTCTTACGCCTTACAATTTACTCAACCGTTTCGCTCGATTATCCTCCTTCTCTTCTCTGTAGGTATGATCTCTATGCGTTATATATCGACTCATGATATACGTCTAGGGAAAAGTTTTTAACATCATGGTAAGTTTGCCAAGGATCCATCTCGTATTCATTTCGGGGAGGACGTCATCGTTTATCAATGATCAGAGAAGGATAGCCAAAAATCAGCTCCCCTCCCAAACGTCACAACCTTCCGTCAGAATTTACTTGGACAGGCTTATCAAGACGGCAATTAGGCAGGGGACTTACAAGACCCCAGAATGGAACTCAGTTTCCGGGCAAGTAGAGACCTGTGAACGGTACTTCTGACTTTTTTTTAATTTTTGTGAAAAAAAGGTAAAATTGCTATTATGGAACACCTGAGAAACAACCGTATCCTTCCTGTTTTTCGGCATGTTCTCAGAAAAGCCAAGTCAATAGTAACTCAGTTGGTGGAAAGTCGCTAGGACTGGGCATCGCTTCGGATTAAAAGAAACGTGTTGATAGCCTCCAACTTCTCTCTTGCTTTAACCTCAGCATAGTTGTTTATGATTACAATATTCTTGTGCCGTGCGTGGCTGTTAGGTGGAGCAGTTTATTAATCAACGGCCTAACGTTTCGACGCTTTCGTCTTCTTCAGAGGCCTAAAGCAACTCGGCTACTTGCACAAAATCCAAAAAGCGCATCACCCCCTGGCGAATGTTACGGCGAACTCAAAACCCATAATTCGAAGCACAACTCATCGAGGTTCCACCCGCTCAAGCATATATGAAATCCGCTGTCGTCACAAGCGACTGTCAGGCTGTCTCCCTTATACTTGTGATAAGGAAAATTACGGTATAATGCTAGTAAGTCACAAGTCACTATAGTCGGTATATATGGCAAAAGATCATTTGTTGTGGACGGCCACTCATCTCTACCATTCATTTTAGGATTTCTATTGAAAATCCAGAACGTCTCTAATGCCTTTCCGCTGAAATCTCCGTCTCCTGCGCTAATATCTTGCACTTAACTTCAAAGTTGTAGCCGTTATGCTCCTCAATTTTATGCTTACCAAGCGCTGCCACGCCCCATACTAGCTGGGTGTTCTTTTATTCGTATAGCTAGTTGTCTTCCCGTCTCTACTATAAATGTTGACCCACATGTCCGGCATTCCATCAGGTACATAGATCACGCCTATCAGTGCGCAATCACCTGTAGGGACATATGATGCAATCATTTGTTATGCACTGCTTGTCGTAGAGCCTATTTCGCTTGTACGTTGTTCTGTACTTCGTGGCCTTCCGTTCTGGTTCAGAACACTAAGGACTCCCGCGGATAATATTTTAGACTTAACCTCAGCCTCGGGCACTGGTTGGGGTTCTTTATAAAAAATGTTCCCGCAGATGCTGTTGATAGCCTTCTTCTATGTTTAGGCATGTTGGAATTCACCCCAGACAGGTATGGGCCAGGTTGTTTCGAAGAGCCAGGTTGTCTCGAAGAGCCAGGTTGTCTCGAGGGTTTGAGCAAACTTCGATTTTTTCAATTCATTTTTGTTTCGAAAAATGCAATATCAATGCCCATCATATGCACCATCACTATCAAGAATTTGTTACTTTCAACTCGGCAGGGTGTGGATGCCCCGCCTCTAGGGGTGTGGGACGTTAGTCTCGAATGACATTGCTTCGCGCCGAGGTGCGAAGTGACCTCATTAGTACTAACCTTATCTTAATTACGCGACTCCCCTTGAACGTGTCTAACCTCAACTTACCTATGAAAGTGATGGCAATGTTGAAAATAGTGAGAAAATGAAATCTCAAGAAAAGTAGTTTTTTAACGTAAAATTTTCATGGTCTTCGGTTTTAAAGTTTTATCACCATGCATAGAATGCATGGTGCATGATAGAAATCCCAAAAAAATTCCAATGAAATCCAAAGAAGCCTAATTTTTTCAATAAAAAGTATAAAATAATAACTAAACAACTCAGGTGGTCTTGTTCGTTACGAATTTTGACATCTTTATGCAAAGCTCCTCAATTTGGATGCGATTGCTCCTCTCTGATGAACTTCATCGAACCTTAGAAAATGTTGATGAGTTACATCCTGTAGAAATGAGAGTAAGATCTCTTAAAAATATCAAACCTTTCCATTTCTTCGTATATTTTCTCTTTCCGCTGTTGTTATAGAACTTTTAAAACCGAAGACCATGAAATTTTACATCTTACATGAACTTCATTTCAATGACCGTCGGATTTTCCTATTCCATATTGTAATAGAAGTTTTAAAACCGAAGACCATGAAAATTTTATGTTAAAAAACTACTTTTCTTGAAATTTCGTTTTCTCACTATTCTTATCANTTTTCTCACTATTCTTATCATTGCCATCACTTTCATAGGTAAGTTGAGGTTAGTCACGATTAAGGGGAGTCGCTAATTAAGATGAGGTTAGTCACTAAGGAGGTCACTTCGCACTTCGGCGCGAAGCAATGTCATTCGAGACTAACGTCGCACACCCCGCCTCTAGTAGTCTTGCAGATCTGAGCTGCGAAAGAGAGTGGGGTCTTCTTTTAGATCTCCCGGGGAATTGAGTTTCTTGCCCGCAGGATGGTTCTTAAGGTACAGAACAAGTGGCATTCGAAAGGGACTAGATTGGGCCCACATGCAGAGTGCGGTGGAATTACCCAGCCTAGTCTCATTATCTTGAGCTGTGATGTTTCGAGACATGGATTATTTATTTTTTTTTATTCGTTACTATTATACAGAGTGAGGCGTTAACATTAAATGAATATGAGTGGCAGACGGTGATACTATAGGATTAATAAAACATATAGGTTATTAACAGTGACATAATTCAAAAGCCACAAGGATAATTAGTTAGGATTTCACATGGGTTGAAGGAAAACAGTCAAAAAATAGTGACTCATGGCCACAGAACAAATAGGCAGTGAGAAAGAAGGGACGGGAAAATGAAGGGGCATCTATGTAAGCATGCATTGTTAGGAGCGGGTACACTGTCATTTTCTGAAGAGGACAACTGGAACTTTTTCACTAGGGTTTGTTGGTGACTTAAGTATACTTTGCTCGTAACGTTGGCTTTGAAAGGAAGGCCCTTCGGCCTCGGACGAGACTCGAACCCGTATTTGTGCGATCCGGGCACAGCGCTCAATACCCTATACTACCGAGACCCCGCTTGTCCTCACCTTCTTAAAGGCTTATATGCCACAGCTTATCGGCACCCACACGAGGAGGTGAGTTGGTTAGAAAATGTCAGCGTTGAACTCAAGAGCAACGAGATTCCAGGGAATATTTCTCTTCATTGTGAGCAGAAGAATATTTATCTTATAATCTTGCTAAAATTTCGAGAGGCAAGTTATCAATTGTTAGAAAGCTTTGTTAGACCTTCATGCGTTCATTTCTAGAAGGGTAACGTCGAGCTAATCCATCGCTTTGCAAGATTTAGTTTGAGAGCATTTTCCTTATCTCACGCCGCTATCTCAAAAACCAGCTCAGCTGACGTATGCACCCAAAACGAACGAGTTCTCCGCGGCGTTGTGGAGTCTGTAAAGGTTGCACCAATCACAAAGAGACGCATACGTGGCACGCAAGCGGCCTACTGTAGGCAGCTGCTCGCAACGCCACTTTACACCTCTTTCCCAACGGGTCTGAAAGAAGAAGGAAACTCGGTTCAGCCAGCTTGTGCAATAGGAGGAAGAACTTCGATTTAATTATGAGTTTCAAAATCCTTACAGGTAGATCAAATCTTGTACCTCTTGATTCTTTCAATCTTGTCTTCTCTACGCACGCACACGCATGGTCACGAGTTCGAATACCGGATCGATATCCACATAGGCAGGTCGAGCCTTCAATCCTTCCAGGGTTGATTAATTGACTTGACTCCTTCGGAAGGATAAAAGCAATGACCTGTACATCGGCAGGAAACCGCAATTCGTTGTATAGGCCACATATGCATTCATTACGCCGCTACGACTCTGAATGGAAGTGCAATACGAGGGAGCATTTCTCGGACGGGAGTGATAGTTGCTAAAGGACTTTAGTCCCCAACAGTAATGGTGTAAGTGTGCGCTGGTATTAATTGCCAATGTCGATTTGTTGAAAGTCGTTTTGGCTCATTCCATATTGAATTTTTTCTTCCCTAGTGAGCTTACTAAAACTATTAGAACACAAGTGACCTCGTCGTTGACGATAAACAGTTTTTTGCTGAATTATTTATTAGCGAAAAGAAATCAAATTCTCATGATGGGCATGTTCTTGAATGAAGACAGCTCTTCTACATGCTCTACTGTTTCTTCATAATCCGATTGATATGATATAACCACTGGTGCGGCTGGAAGGGCACCACCTGGAAGTATTACTAATGGTGTTGTTAATGTCGTTGTTGTTGGTGGTGTTGTAGTTCGTAGTTCAACCCAGTTCCTCCACCTCGCCGGTGTTGTCCCGGTACGGTCGCATGCAAAAATAAAGCCTTTGTAGAACGACGAGCTCCCCTGGATTTGATGCAGCCACGCCTTCACCTTAAAAAATGGTCATTATTTCGTGGAGATAAGCACTAGCTGGGCGGAGGTGGTGTAGTGGCAAGTGGCGCACTATATCACACGCACGGTCAGGGGTTCGAATCCCGGATCGATGCCCGCCTAGGCCAACCAAGCCCTCCATCCCCTCGGGGTCGGTGAATTGGTACCAGACTCGTCTGGGAGGATAAAAGCACTGACTTGTACATCGGCTGGCCACCGCAAGTCATTGTATAGGCCACATACGCACTCATTACGCCACTACGATTCTGAATGGAAGTCGAGTGCGGGGGCGCATCCCTCAGACGGGATTGATTAACGCCAAAAACTTTATCCTTTACTTTAAGCACTAGCTGACTACTGTCGTCTACTGGATCCGAAAAAAGGTGCTGTAGAGAACAAGTCTTGATGAGTACATTAGAGCAATTGGCATTCGTAAGTATGAAAGTCCAGGTGAAATGGCCACCCATATCCAGAAATGGTACAGTCTAGATCTGAAAAGTCTCCAAGTGACGCAGAATATTGTTGAATCTGAAATGAATTGTGAAAAATCGAAAATTTCTGAACATGCTTAGAAATGAATCTCCATACTAACCTTTGTTCCGGAAAAGGCGCTCAAGAATTGGCTGGTTCCAGCTGGACTGTAGGTTTGGTTGATGATTATAGTAATAGTAATGTACATGTTAGCGTCTCCTGACATATTGAACGTACCAGAATAGTTCCGATAAGAAAGAAAGCAAAAAGTAGACGTTCCATGTTGAATGCGTGCTGTGAATATGGAATGCTTACTTTCCGCCTTACTATTTATAACTTCTTGACACCTAGAGCTGGTTATATGTCAGCCATATTCACAGATTTTTTATTTTATAGCTTTCTGAATAAGGATTTATTGCTTTCGGATGGGCCATTAATTCCCTTCGCTATCGAATCATGTTTGAACGGAGAACTTTTCTAACAATAGGAGGCTGTTTTTATGTAACTAGCCTTGATGTCCGTGCCTCAATGGCTGCTGAGTTCATACATCGTAGCTGTTTGTGCCTCTAGAAGTAAAGAGATCATTCTGATGCCCAAGGTCGTCTCTCAGCAAACGTCGACATTCGTCCCCCTGAGGCACATGTTCCCATGACGTCGTACCCATTGCTCTCCTAGAGGAGAAGCATCCAAATGTACTTTCAGATGAATTCGAAAGAGTCTATCTGTTTTCCCAACATACTCCTTTTGATGTTGATAGCACGAAACTAATTACACCACACAGGATGTCATGCAAACTCCTCCATCACGGAATTGGCATATGATAAAAGAAGGCGTTGTGCAAAGGCGGTCATATAGGCGATTCCGGACTAGTTCTTGTCTAAGGTTCAAGCAGGAGTGTTTTCAACTCTCATCAAGTCCTGTAGACTTGATGAGAGTTGAAAACAAATCTCCCAAATGATCCTATGGCTGTACTCAATTCGTCGAATATAAATGGAACATCTGTTTTCGTGTCCCCGTGAATAGCGTTGGGTCACTATCCTTCGTTTGTATCAAATTGGGAAACCTGATGTTTCGTAGTCCCCTGTCTGTGCCTCTTTCTGGCTTTGGCTTTTATGGCTTTCTTGGAGCTAAATGACGGGGAGAGCAGAAATGAACAAGCATATTCTCACCGACGACTAGCGATTCCATTTGGTCCTAATGGTACGCGCAGTCATTCATACCTGGGCATTAAGGAATAGAGCAGGAGTTTAGCAAACGCTCATACCTTGTAGGTGTGGGCATGTGATAGCCCTCTACACACCTTCTAACAAGACTGCTAAATCCCCTCCTTGCCGCACAAGTCGATCTTCATAGCCCCGGCGACTGAGAACTTCTAGTTTCCTCAGACTTCTGTTTTTATCGAAAATCAGATTCCTCGAAGTTGGTTCCGCGGTATCGGGGCATGGAGTATCGCAAACAATGAGTCCAAGAAATTCAACACTCGGAATCCACTCCATGATCAGGTTCCGTAGACCCGAGAGATGTGGAGACAGGACCTCGTGATAGGGTTTAGCATAAGGAACTGCTAGGGAAAAGGCTTGCATCTGAAGCAAACAGATAGGCATCGCTGGATGAACAGATTTTGCCAAGCACCAGAACTCTTGGGCTATCCTAATTATCTCCACAATCACTAGCTACATCTAAAGGTTTCGTTATCGACCTGTATGTGTGTGATCCGCAACTTCGCTGCTCAACCATTAATGGCACAGTTCGAGATAATAATGGTTTCTGAGGTTTCCCCATAGGATGAGTTCGAGGCCTATACCATATATGGCGCTATCAAGTCGGGAACGACCTAGCTAGGCCGTTGTAATGGCTCAACTAATATATTTGCATCCTCGGATGAGTACCACCGCATTGCAGAGACTGCACCATTTACAAGGGATCAAATGTAGGAAACTCGAAATTCGCGCATTTTCTCGCCTTCTCTACTACCGATGAACTAGTCCCTACCTACACTTCCGCTTTTTGAATAAAAAGGGGTAAAAAAGGGGTAAAAAAATTGTACTGAACTGTGAATTTGACCCGCTGTACTTTATCTACAGTTTTGTCTCGACCCTAATACAGTGCGTTTCATAATTATAAGGTCACCCTCAAATTTTGCACTTTCAAGGAAAGCAATAATTAAGGATTTTTTCTAGCATCATGAACGGATTCCCCAGCACGAATAACCTAGGTATCCGTTTTTTAGCCGCAGCTGCATCTTTCTGAACTTTTTTAGAACAGTTTATCGGTTTTTGCACCGTTTCATAATTATAAGGTCACCCTGGGAAAGTGAACAATTATTCATGGAGGAGAGGAAATTTCATGTTTGAAGATACTTATGAAGGTAAGCATGTGTAGCAAATGCATTTCTAAATCTGGCTGTCAACATGGCTCATGGTCACCTGCTTTCCTCTGATGAGAAGGCTAATCATGAAGGTGGGCTCAGTACTCGAGCCATCTCCAGGCAAGTAGGATGATCCCCTTGGTCCATTCGGAGATTTCTAGAGAGTCCTCATGTCGTTAGATATGACACCGACTGTGGACACCCATGAAAGATTACTACCCGTGACGAGCGGAAAATTCTGAGGACTGTCTCCAACAGTACGTCCTCCTTGAACCAGATCCGATCGGAATTAAACCTCTCTGAATTAAACTACAGTCTGGAGAGCAGAGAGCAGATGCGAGAACATCACCAGGAAAGCAATGGAGAAGGTGTCACGAACCGCCGATCGCCACAGAGAGGCTCGACTCCGATATGCAAAGATGAATCTAGGAAGAGATTGGGCAAAGGTAGATCTGCATCAAAACCTCACCATAGAGCTGAATAATTTCCACTCAGACTGTCTTTTTGGATAAAAAGAAATTCAACTCGGACGGTCCTGACGGAAACAAGTACTACTGGCCCGACTTGAGAAAGGAACCAGTCCTTCTCGAAATTTCTTAAAAATTTCCTAAAAAAAGTTTTTTTGCTCTCAGCTTTCTGTTCTCTATAGATCACAAAAAAGCCTCTCTTGTATACTGTACTATACTACTGTACTTGGATTTCAAGCGTTCTTCATTCCCATTCAGGATGCGCCTAACCATTCGCCTACACTCAGAATTGCAGAAGGGTTTGGAATGAGGATTGGACCCTACAATGACTTTCGTGGAATGGCCCGTGAAAAAAATGCACTGCTCCAAGCTGTTCAGATAGCCTTGGTACCAATTTATCAACTATTAAGGGCTGTAAAGGTCGGCTGGCTAGAGCAGGCAAAGGGTGTGGTCCTCGGACCACACCAACCATAAAACTCTATCCTGCAATCGTCCTCTTCATGCCTTAATCAGAAAAATCCGACTAGAAAAATCCGAAAGGGTGTCTTTCTCTTCTGTCTTGCACTGGTTGAACATCTTGTGGAAAAGATCAAGAACAAGCTAGCGAATTGAAGACCACAATGAAACGAGGGGGTTTACCACAAGATTTTCTGGCTTACGATAAAACCGTCCAAAATTGTTCAATTTTGAGCACTTCCGCAACCAGAACTGTGTTATATAATGAACAGATTGCCCAGATTTATTCAAGGAAAACGGTTACTTTCACTTTCAGTATGGTTCTTCATAAACAGTCTGTTGTTCTGCAACAACCTGTCGTTGTGCAATAACCGGTTGTTGAGCAAGAACCGGTTGTTGTGCAATGACCGGTTGTGCTGCAATGACCGGTTGTTGTGCAATAACTGGTGGTTCTGCAATAACCGGTTGTTGTCCAACAACTATGGGAGCAGGGGCAGAGACATACTGTGGTATCACAACGGGAGAAATCTGACCAACTGGAGCCACTTGAGCAACTTGACCATATGGAGCAAACTGACGAACTTGACCAACTTGACCAACTTGACCAGCGTTTTGTCCATTCTGTCCAGGAAGGATGATGAACTTTTTGTTTGNTACCTCGTCACAGTGACATTGTGTTAGGGTGAAAGTAAAGGCAAAATAGCCATTGCTGTCAGTATTTCCAAGGTTCGAGAAGACTCCAAGAGGGGCCGAGTATTCCTCGATCTGAAATAAATTTTGATAATTCGAATAGTTACAACTGTGATCCAAGGTGTGAGGTGATTTTTTCTGACCTTTGTTTTCGGAAAGTAGCCCATATACTCGCTGACTTTTGATGGAGTGTAGACTTGATTGGTGACTATTGTAACGTCCGCTGTATCGTATCCGTGTGAGACTCCCTGCTTAGGTTGTGGTACTGGTTGGCAAGCCTACAAAAGACATTTTCTATATTCTATTCCTTTATTTCTAGTCGCTACCCGGCGGAGAGGCCTTACCCATGACCTTATCATGACGAAAGGAAGATTTTGAACATACCAGTGTGGTTCCAATAAGGGTGAAAGTAACAAGTAAATAATCCATGTTGGATGTGTGATGCGACTGCAGAACGTCGGTCTCCCTACTTATATGTTCTGGGACTTGATGAGTCAGCTACTCAAATAACTCATTTTATAGCTATTTATTAGCTATATTCGCATATTTAAAATTCTATGGATATCATCGTGAGAACGTTTTGTTTTCAATAACTGCTTACTCGAGACGTTGAAGCCTCAATTTTCTTTGAAACAAAGGACGTCTCACACAAATAACTCCGTTTATGGCTATGTTTTCCCAGCGATGATATTCATCTACGATAGTTATATGCCTTGCATATTAGTTAGCTCTATCATAGAAGATGTTTTCGATGTCATTTTGAAAAAGTATTAACTGTTTTCAAGGATCCCTTCTTGTCTGACACCCTCAAATCATGTCGAGAAGAGAAGTGCTCTAGAACAGCTTCGTGGCGGTTTTCCCACGAATGATCTTTCATGTCTCTGTTTTGATAGGCAGTAAATTAATACATAGCTGTACTAAATGCATACTCGTAGACTAAATTAACAGAAAGAATTCTCGATGGATTCCAAAAGGGTATTTAAATGTTTCAGTGAGTGTCCGCTTCATTCTCTTGTGTCAACTTTCTTTTGCCTTGCCCAGAACGAAGAAGAGTTCCTATACAATTTACCTAACCGTTTCGCTCGATCCTCCTTCTCTCCTCTGTAGATATGATCTCTATGCGTTATATATCGACTCATGATAGGTGACTAGGGAAGTGTTTTTTATCATCACGTTCACCAGGTAAGTTTGTCAAGGCTCCATCTCGTATTCATTTCGGAGAAGACGTCATCTTTCATCAGTGATTAGAGAAGGGTAGCCCGAAATCAACCTCCCTCCCAAAAGTCACAACCTTGCTTACTAGGACAGCCTTACCAAGATGGCAATTAGGCAGAAGACTTACAGGACCCCAGATTGGAATTCAGATTCTGGGCAAGTCAAGCAGACCTGTGAACGGTACTTCTGTCTTTTATTGAATTTTTGTGAAAAAAGGTAAGATTAGTCTTATGGAACACCCGAGAAACCAGCGTATCCTTCTTGGTTTCGGCATGTTCTCAGAAAAGCCAAGCCAATAGTAACTCAGTTGCTGGAAAGTCGCTAGGACTGGGCTGTCGCTTCGGATTAAAAGAAACGTGTTGATAGCTTCCAACTTCTCTCTTGCTTTAACCTCAGCATAGTTGTTTATGATTATAATACTCTTGTGCTGGGCGTGGTTTTTAGGTGGAACAGTTTATTAATCAGCGGCCTAACGTTTGATAGTTTTCGTATTCTTCAGAGGCCTAAAACAACTCGAGACTATTTTCACAGTATCCAAAAAGCGCATTACCCTCTGGCGAATGTTGCGGCGAATTCAAAACCCATAATTCGAAGCATAACTCACCAAGGTTCCACCCGCTCAAGCGGATATTAAATCCGCTGTCGTCACAAGCGACTGTCAGTAGCGAATGAGACTTATTGGCTGTCTCCCTTATACTTGTGATAAGGAAGATCACGGTATAATGCTACTGAGTCACAATTCGCTATAGTCGATATATATGGCAAAAGATCGTTGGATATGAACGGGCACTCATCTCTACCATTTATTTTAGGATTACTTCGGAAAATCCAGAACGCCTCTAATGCCTTTCTCGCTGAAATCACGAACTCCTGCGCTAATATCGTGCACTTAACTTCAAAGATGTTGCCGCTATGTTCCTCAATTTTATGCTTACCAAGCGCCGTTATCAGGCTGCCACGCCTCATACTAGCTATGTGTTCTTTTATTCGTATAGCTAGTTGTCTTCCCGTCTCTTCGATGAATGTTGACCCACATGTCCGGCATTCCATCTGGTAGATCACGCCTATCAGTGTGCAATCACCTGTTTTTCCGTAAGGACATATTATGCAATCATTTGTTATGCACTGCTTGTCGTAGAGCCTATTTCGCTTGTACGTTAGTTGGTACTTCGAGGCCTTCCGTTCTGGTTCAGGACACTCAGGACTCCCGCAGATAGTAGTTTGAACTTAACGTCAGCCTCGGGCACTGGTTAGGGTTCTCTATAAAAATTTCGCGGGAATGGCACAGATGGCGCTGATAGCTTTCTTCTAGGTTTAGGCATATAGGGATTCACCGCAGAGAGGTATGGATGAAGAGCCAAGTTGTCTCGAACGTTTGTGCAAATTTCAATTTTTTTTATTCATCTTTATTTCGAAAAATGCAATATCTACGCCCATCATATGCAGCATCACTATCACCAGTTTGTTACCTACAACTCGGAAGGGTGTGGATGCCTCGCCTCTAGTAGTCTTGCAGTTCCCAGCTGCGGAAGGAAGTAGGATCTTTTTTTAGATCGTCCGGGGGATTGAACTTCTTGCCCGCAAGACGGTTTTTCAGGTACAGGAACAGGTGGTGATCGAGAGGAACTAGATCAGGCCCACATGGAGAGTGCGGGGGAATTAGCCAGCCTACTCTCATTGCCCTGAGCTGTGTCATTTCGAGACATTGAGGCGATGACATTAAATGAGTGGCAGACGGTGATACAATAGGATAAATAAAACATAAAGACTATACACAGCGACATAATTCAAAAGCCTTGAGGATATTTAGTCAGAATTTCACACGACTTATGCCACAAAACAACTAGGCAGAGAGAAAGAAGGGCCGGGGAAATGAAGGAGCATCTATGTTTGGATATATTTTTGGCTATGTCTACTTTGTTTTTTCTAAGAAAAAAGTTTGGAAGGTGCCTGACCAAAAATTCCTTTTGCGGGCTCGCATGTGGTACAACTTCAAACAAGAAAAATCGGCTGCTAAATCTCATCGCGCCATATCTGAACTATACGGCGAAGAAGCCCTGCCAGAAAGTCAGTGTCGACGATGGTTCCAGCATTTCAAAAAGGTAATGAAAAAAGGTGCCTGGGGGACGAAGAACATGGAAGTCGGCCTCAATTCGTCGATAATCAAGCGTTGAAGACCGTTATTAAATTGGATCTACTCCAAACCGCCCGAGAACTGGCAATACATGTTGGCTGCTCAAACTCTACCATCCATGAAGATTTGCTGGCAATTGGCAGACGAACGGGTGCGTAAAATGGGTACCGCACCAGCTGAGCGACGCAAACCAGGCAACACGAGTGGCGATGGCCGAAGTTCTTCTTCATCGCTCCAGAAATAGCGGTTTTTTCAACTCTATTATTGAATCGGACGAGAAATGGATCTGCTTCGACAACACAACACAAAAAAAGACAGTGGTTAGACGGCGGTGACACTCCAAAACCCATTCTGAAACCGGATATACACGACAGAAAGGTGATGCTCTGTGTTTGGTGGAACAGCAATGGTTAGTGTAGTTTGAAGTCCTGATTTTGGGTCAAACGGTTACGGCAGACATTTGCGAAGATCAGTTGAACCGCGTAGATCAAGCAAAGCGTCGTCAAGGTGTCGTAACGACGTCGACAAAATTCATCCCCGATAACGCTCGTCCACATGTTGCAAAAACCACCTTGAAAAAAGTTGAGGAATCGGGCTGGGAAGTACTGCCTCATCCGCCATACAGCCCAGTTCTCACACCATACGATTACCCTTTGTTCCGGTCAATGCAGCACTCCTTGGCCGAAAGAAATTTCAAAAGCCGCGAAAGTGTTCAACTACTAGTCGCAGCCGGCCGAGTTCTTCAGAAGAAGAATCCATCCTAAACGTAAGCAACAAGTCATTGATAGTAATGGAAAATATCTTTTGAACTGATCTTGTTTAGTTTCCTTTTTATAATAAAAATTTTTTATCTCAAATGCGCATTCCTCGTCGAGGGGCTTGACAAAACTTTAGTTCTCTGAAGTCTTCGAGCATTTCATCCTGGCCAGCCGTTTCATTAGTAGGGAGTATTTCTACATAGCTAAGTGGAGTCGTGTCATCAGTCTCGATGACTACGAACCTACACACGTTCCTCTGTTACGCTGGTTTGAAAATATTTAGTTTAAATATGAAGTGTTGAGAGGACTGGACATCGATCGATATGGCTCACGCGGTCCTGAACGCAATCTGTTCTGCGATTTTAGTACACGGCGAGTAAGGCGGTCGCTCGGTTGAAACAAAGCACGTCTTTGAGCTCTGAAAGCACCCTTTGAGTCGTGTACGGTTACTTTCTGTGCGCTAGTATTCAAGCGCAACCTGAGACAAAACGCGCTGTTGCCAAATAGATGAGATTCGCTCGTAGAAAAAAGTGGGAGAGGATTGAGACGTGTCGAGTTCTTCTATAATGAAGAAAATAAGGGAACTAGAAAATGAGGAGGTAACCCGTGAGTTGAAAAGATGCCCTTCTGAGAGGTACGGAGCTGCTGCAGCACTTATATTCCTTCAAGTGTCTGTGCGCGGGAAAGTAATTCGAAATCTCTCACACGCGCGACGAATGCGGCGCGACCTGGTCTCATAGTGATAGGAACGATAGGAACGGACGTTCTCCGCCGAAATCCCACCTCTTAAATGATTGATTAGGCTACGAATACGGGAGAAGAGCAGGAATGTCAGCAGACTTATTTGCTTTGTTCTTCTTTGTCTTTTCTCTAATTGCATGTAAACTATAATAATTCGGTTTCCTCGACACCTCAACCAAATACAACGGCAATCGCTGCCTCATTGGAAATTGATTGAGGTAAAGTTCTACTATCTAGGTTTCTTTTGGATCCTCTTACCGTTGAGACGATCGCACGGCAAATGATGATTGTCGTAACGAGGTGCTTCCTACTGTTCGCATCGGCGTTCCCTCACCATGGTCACGCCAGAAAGTGGGAATTTGGATGTCCACACACTCCTAAGGGGACGCGTCGTGCTGAGGATTGCTAGGTGGTCTGCTGCGGGCTAGAGAGGGCCTGTTTCCCTGACGCCAAACCAAAGCCCAGACTACAAAGTGTCCACAGTACTCTTGGGAACAATCCTGCTTGACCACACATTGATAATAGGACGCTACCTTTATGATGTACGGGTATGAAATGACAAAACTTCATTTGATAGGCAA